GCAAAAATATCTAGAGTGTTGGAGGAGCCGTAATTTTAAATGTAGATTAAAAGATCTTTTATTGAAAGCGACGTGGAGGAGAGGAAATATGTTGAAACTCTGGCAAAATAGGTGGGGTTATTAAACATGGAGACAGCAGTAAAACCAGCAGGCTGGCCCTGGAAATAGTTTTGTGAAATGTGTAGGAAAGGTACTGTGGTGTCTTAACCAAAGTTCTGGCAACAGTGAAACTTCTCAAGTGGTATTCAAGAAAGACAGTAAGTATAAATGTCCAACAATGGTAACAAAAGTGAGGATGGAGGTTGGAGGAATAGATTGAGGAGAACCAACAAGAGTGAATTCAGTTCAGTCCAGCAAACCTTTATTAAGCAACTTCTATGTACAAGGCTCTGTCCTAGGTGCTAAAAATACAAAGATGAAGTTTAAGAGAGTATCTGGCCTCAGTGAGTTTAAGATATGCCATAATAGAGGAAATAAGACATAAATTCGAAACCGCAATGTAAATTAGAATATAAGAAAAAGTCTGAAGTTGTATTTGGAAAGAGAGATCACTTCCAGTGGGGATGTTCAGGGATAGATTCTTGTAGAAGATAGCACTTAATCTGGGCCTTACAAGAAGAGAAGGCATTCAAAAAGCAGAAATGGAGGGTGGGGCATCTTTTCCAGTATGGTATGCTGTATGAGAAGAAGCATGGAATTGGGAGGAGAGGAACAAGATGAGATTGGCAAATGGCCTGTAGCCTAGTTTGGTTCTAGAGCATACCAAGGAGAATAATGTATGAAGTCATGAAAGGAAAGTTGGAGGACCTTCAGTAAATGACTAAAAACCTAAGGTGTTCTTGCTTTATTTCATAGGCAGTTGAGGTGCCAGAGGTTTTCTTTTGGGGGAAGGTATAGGGAGGTAATAATATAGGGAGGATTAGGGAAAGAATGGAGGCAGAGAGAAAAATTTAGGAGGCCTTTGTAATTATCTAGGTGAGAGGTTGTATTAGGATCTGAAGCAGAGTGGTAGATATGTGAATGGAAAGAAAGGAGGTACTGTGGAGGTAGAATAACAGAAATGGAGATGAAGGGCATTAGTAGACTTACGTGGGGCCAAAGCTTATAGAGAATAGGAACTTGTATGTGTTAGCTTGTATACTATCCTGCTACACAGAACCATCCCCAGTTAGGAACTTAATAAATACCTTGCGCAGTATGGTGGTGAATCTAAAACAAACAAACAAACCCACATCAGTTGTAGGTGGGATGAGTGATTCCTAAAATGACATCTTCCTGGTATGAGGAGGTACAAAGTGCTTAACTGCCAGAGCCACAGGTATGAAATATGGAGATGAAACATTACCTAAAAGGCATCCAAGGTTTCTTATTCATTTCTCTGCAAAATCTCATTTTCTGTGCAAAAACTATGTTGACAGTTTTAGCGCTTAACTGTTTGAATCACTGTTTCATTTCAAATCTATTTGATTTCTTAAAATAAACCACAGAACTGATGACATTTTGCCCACCAAATACTCCTGGCTTGGGTTTCCTCTTCCTCCACCTCTGAGTAATGTTCTTACTAATTGCAACACACCAATAGGTTCTTTGAGGGCAGCGGGGTAGTGCAGTGGATAGATTACTGGCCTTGGAATCAGGAAGACTCATCTTTATGAATTCAAATCTGCTTCAGACACTTCCTAGCTGTGTGACCCTGGGCAAGTCACTCAACCCTATTTGCCTCAGTTTCCTCATCTGTAAATTGAGCTGGAGAAGGAAATGGCAAACCACTCCAGTATCTCTGCCAAGAAAACCCCAAAATGGGGTCACAAAGAGTCAGACACAACTGAAAAAACAACCAAACAACAATAGATTCTTCAACTTGTGCTGTGCTGATGCCAAAAGTTTATACTAGAGATAAGTTTTCTCTTAACAGAGAGAATAGACCTAGTTCCCCAAAGGCCAAAAACCATTGTCATACTTCATTCTAATTACTTTCAGTGCATTATGGCTACCTAATCCCTGGTGTTTTTGAATGGCGGGCAAGAAGCCTCAGCTGTTGGCTACATTATCTGCTCCCCAGGAACCCATATACCACTGAGAACAATTTTGGTGACTGTGGTCTCCAGATGCTGACTGTAAGCTGTTGTTGCAGCCCAGGGCAAACAGAGGTGAAGTACAGAGACTGGGTGGCACCAGCTGTATCTCTTTCTGGGACTAGGGACAAGTCAAACCTAAAAATAGCCCCCCAGGTTATTGCCAGGAGACCAAATGGCTAGAACAGAACCCACACCGGGAAATATGGGACTGTAGTATATATACTGAAATCTTAGTGCTACAGTCATTGATATACCTACAGATCACCAGCCCCTATGTTGCATGTAGATCTATCATGGACGTTCATGTTTTACAGTCAACAATAAGAGGACTCTGACTTCTTTCCCTCACAGGCTTAAAACTTACATATATATCACTAACAAGAGCAAACCTAAATTGTAAAATGAGCACATGATGTATGCAGTTAACAGAATGCAGTATGTCTTATTAAAAGTCATAGTACTTTCATAGTCATGTTTGGTCATATTCTTTATGAAGCACAGGCTTTTCCTGGCCATTCAGACATATTGTTTGGTATTTGTTTGGACCAATCACCAACCAATCCTAAATGCTGTGATCCTCAAGTATTGGTGGGAACTCAGGATATACTCCTCCACTAGGCTGAGGAAATAGACATCAAATCTTAGGCCAAGAGCTCTCCTTTGATGGTCTCTTGTGCTGGGAGGCAGCGTACTACAGGACATGATCCCCCAACACTTGGCACCATATTGACTTTGGTATTGTTAATCTCCCTTGTTCTGCCAGTGTGGTTTATGTAATTGGATGAGTATCAAAATCCACCTCTAGCTAGCTGTGTCCTGTGGTCAGAGAAGTCACCACACTGCCGTCAGCTGCTGATTCCCTTTCATTTCTGCTGACCCTGATCTCACTTCTTAGACAGCCTAACTACTGGAGAAGCAAGATAGATATGAGTCATGATATAGGTTGGGTGATTCCATAAAGGTTTTTGAAGATAAGTATTTAGTCTCACCATCTTGAGGAATTGTTTTATGTGGTATAAAAAGAGCCCTTGAACTTGGGGTTAGAAGTCCTGGGTACTTATACAGGCTGTCTTCAAAGAGTTCTTATGAGAATCACATGAGATAATATATGTGAAAACAATTTTTACCTGTAAAGGGCTATGTCAATGTACATTACTATAATTATTGAGGGAAAGGTCCTTGACACAATGAACTAAAATAAATCCTCTCAGCTCTTCCCATAGTCTCCCAGAGCATTCATGAAATAACTGTTTTGGAGTCTCTACTGTGTACAAGACAGCAAGAAACAGCAGCTCAGGGGGCAGCTAGGTGGCGCAGTGGATAAAGCTCTGGCCCTGGAGTCAGGAGGACCTGAGTTCAAATATGGCTTTAGACACTAGCTGTGTGACCCTGGGCAAGTCACTTAACCTTAATTGCCTCACCAAAAAGCAAAAAAAGAAGAAAGAAACAGCAGCTCAATTTGCAAAGCACTTCCCATACATTATATCATTTGAGTCACACAACAACCTCTTGAGGTAGAAACTACAGGCATTATTGCCACCATTTTTTTAAAATTTATTTTTATTTATTTATTTATTGGTGAGGCAGTTGTGGTTAAGTGATTTGCCCAGAGTCACACAACTAGTGAGTGTTATGTGTCTGAGGCCAAATTTGAACTCAGGTCCTCCCGACTCCAGGGCCCTATCCACTGTGCCATTGCCACCATTTTAAAACTGCCATCAGTTGCTGATTCCCTTTCATTTCTGCTGACTCTGATCTCACTTCTTAGACAGCCTTAGACAGAAACTGAGGCTGAGAGAAATTAAGTAACTTGCCCATGATTACACAGCCTTTCAGTGTCAGAGGTGTGATTTTAACTCAGGTCTTCCTGACTCCGAGACTCTTCACTATGTTACACTGCTTTTCATTCTCTTCCCAAGAATATCCCAGAGAAACATGGGATCAAGGGGCTCCAGCCCTAGCCATTAAGCTATTCACTCAGCTATTAAGGCTACAGAACTAGAGTAAGATTCCTTCACAACTAGGGTGGTCCTTCCCCAGAGACCCAGGGAAATCTCAACCAACGAGCACACCATCCTCGCTGTAGCTTCTCCCTAGTTCTTTGCTGAGAGCATCCAGCTCTCACCAGTCCCCACCCCTTGATTTTTTGCTTGCCTGCTGCTGTAAATAATTTATCTGCATTGTGAGCAGGTGTTCAACAGAAAATGGGTGTGTAACACACACACTCCACTGCCTACATAAACACGTTTCTCTCACTCTTACTGTCAAACAGACACTTTAAGACAGACTCATCTCTCACTTTTACTTGGCTCAAATCCTCTTGTCCAAGCTGTCCATCGCTTTCTCCTCTCTCTCATGCTCCTCTTCCTTGGCCTCCTCCCTCACCTTTTTGTTCTTCCTAAAAGGATACTTAATGTCTAACATTCATATTCTCTTCCCCTTACCCCAATGTCTGATTCCTAGTAATCTCCTCCTACGCAAGGAAACGAGGGACTCCAGATCTATCTCCCAGCCAGAGAAATAGTCATGAAATCTCTGAGGACCTCACCACCCACTGGACTTCACTAGTCCGAGGCTGTTACTAAGCAGATGGGAATCTTTTTTGACCAATCACTAATTACTACCACTTGTCCTGCAACTAAGCTTGTGGTTTTTTTTTTAATTTCCCAAAGCACCCCAGGCACAAATCACTGTGATTTAAAAACAACAACATTTAATCAAGGTACTTTTTATGAACATTTCTAATTTGTTCATACCAAAAGTTGCAAGTAAGTTAGTCTCATTAGTGGAATCCAATTCTGTTGCATCCTCAGTTTCCCCTCAAAATCAAAACTATATTAGTTCTAAAAGTAGCTTGTTTAATTAACCCAGAGATCATAATTTTGATGGTTTTCTTTTTTTCCTTTCGTGATCCTATAACAGTACTGCTGCACATACAAATCTAGTGTGGCCAAGGAAATCGAGCCATTTCGGGTAAGAAAAATACAGAATCTCACAGAGAGTTTATTCAAAAGATAAGGTGATTTTGTGCTGGTGAATACTCGAGCAAATCTTTATCAGAATCCTTTTGAAGATGAACTACAAAGATCATTACAGGGGTATCATTTACAATTGAGATTTTTTTAATAGTGATTATTTTTGTAATTGTAAAGAACAATAGGATGTAGAAAGAAAGGGGGCATTGAGAGGTTAGGATATTTAATATTCTGATACAATATTAGTAAGTCAGATAACTTTTGAGAGCATCCATTTCTGGTTTCCTGGCTTTGTTTAATAAATTTTAATATTCCTTCCCACAAAGCCCGTAGGAACCTACTTGTATGCACTGCCTTTATTTTACCCCAGTGAGCCAGTCTTTGACAAGTGAATTTGATGTTTCTCCGATGTTGTCTATACTTTGTCTTCCCACTGCATTGAAGTTCTCTGAAGAAAAGCATGACACTGGTAAATCTAAGATTGCATAAAAGACAAATCTAGCATTTCCTAACTGGAAGAAGGAAGTATATAGCCCCTCAAAGTCAAGACTCCCGAGTTTCATTTCTAGTTCTGCATCTTATTTGTAATCTGATTGGTGACTGCCCCTCTCAGTGTCTCAGTTTTTCCCATTGTAAGATAGGTAATTGTTTTGTTAAAGATCCGTTTGAGCAATGTAGCCAATGACATGAATTCAGTAAGTGAATCAGTGATTCACTGAGACAACACTCATTCATGTGAATATCCTTGCCAGGTGAGAGTTGTTGACAGAATTCATTCCACTGGCTAGGGCATCTCCTTTGAACTACATAGATATTTTTAAAGAATTTTAAAGTTGTGATTAAGGACATTTAGATGCTCAGAAGAGAGATATTTTGAGGGGTTTGTTTTTGGTTTTTTTAGGTATTCAATTTCCCGAGATGTGAATCCCCTAAATGTATCCCTGAATTTGTTCCTAAATCTTTCTTAAACATATCCAGTCTACAAAAAGTCAATGCTATTTATGCTCAGTAAATCTCTGTTAGCCAATTCTAAAAAGAAACAACTTGAAATTATCTATTTTAAAAACAGAATGCTTGAAAAAAATCTTTCTTCTTCTACTTGCCAAGATCCCAAATTCAGGAATCTGGGTTTCCTTGGTAACAACTGATAGCAGAGCAAACACTAAGGCAGAAATTTGCATCACTCTTGCAGCAGGTGATGTCATCATCTGTTACGGGGGACAGCACAGAAACTTCTGGTTTCTGGTCTCTAGTCCAACCATGTATGTGAAGAATTAACAGTTTCCAAGTGTTGGTTGAAACAGTTAAGGCAATGCAAAAAAGATCTGGCTGCCATTTGGTTATATTCAACAGCTTATGATGTATCAAAGTTTGCAAAAAGCAAAGAAACTTAGAGACCAAGATTAAAATGAATTCCCACCTCCTTTTCCCTCATTTCTCTGTATCAAGCTGAATAGCCTCTCCTGGCTGGTATGGTAGACCAGAATGCCTAGAAAGTGACAGGATCAGTGGAGATGTACAATGTAATGTCTTTATTTTCCTTCCAAGTTAACATCATTAGTACCATGGGAAAATGGTAGTTGTCAGGTTACTTCTTACCTAAAATCAACTAAATGAAACTAGTCCAAAAAATGGAAGCAACAGATATGGGAATGATAATTTGACTAAGATGAGAAGTAACGAATAAAATGCATTCCTATCTCTGTATGCATGTATATGCATGCAAGAGGGATTGCAGGAAGGAATTAGAGATACAGCCACTGACTACAAGAAGTATTGGCTTGTACATGATCTTAAACTATGCCAGGGGTAGAACTGTACTTTGGATGAGAAGTAGGAGTGACAGGTTACTGACTATTCCAAGAGTCCTCCTAAAGAAGGAGGAACCCATTTACTTTGGACACTCGAATAAAGATATGTTAAAAGATATCCACACCCTCACCCTAGTAGTTATGAGGCTTTCTCTTGGTCAAATGGGCTCTGTGCCTAGAATGATGGAACTCTGAGGCAGAAACCAGGCCATTTCTGCCATAGAATTTCTCAGCTGGCAGAAATTGGACTTAAGTCCTGAAGTCTCTGCCACTTTTAACAGAACAGAGCTCTGGAACTCTGAACTAAGTTGGATTTAGGAGCAGGAACTTATGTCATCTGAGAACCAACTTCAGTAACAGATGGCATGTGCCCCTTTCACTGATTGATGATCTCTTTTGGATACCACATTGAAACCCATTTGGCTGAGTGTAGCATTCTAATAGGATGTAAGGTCATTGAGAGCTTGGACTGTCTCACTTTTATATTTGTAATCCCAGTGCCAGAGATAAAGTAGGCATCTAGTAGGTGCTTAATAAATGCTTGTTGTTTCAGTGTGCCTAGCCAGATGACTGGATGCCTCTGCTTTTTTGCTCATAGAATCATGGGAGTGTTGATGTCTAAACGGCAGACAGTGGAGCAGGTTCAGAAGGTGAGCCTGGCTGTGTCAGCTTTCAAGGATGGGCTACGGGATAGGCCTTCTCTCCGGCGTACAGGTGAATCAGCTGGTTCTCGGAGGGGCACTGTGGAGCACTCTGTCCAGGAAGTACAAGAGGAGGATGAGCCGGAGATAGTGGCCGCTGTCCCACAGGAAGAGAACACTGTCAACAAAGCAGCCTGGGAACGGCTAAGGGATGGCCGTGGGGTAGAACCTGAGGAGTTTGACCGTGCCAGTCGTTTCACACCACCTGCCTTTATCCGACCTATTCGGGAACTAAATGATGACAAGCCACTTGATATCTGCTTGGAACCAAGAGAATCTGTAAGTTCTAGAGTGAGGCAGTAGAACTAGGGAAGGGGAAGAATGGCAATATCTGAGTTTACAGAGCAAATGGTAGGCTGCCTGGAGATCAGAAAGCAGGACTGTGAGCCCTGGGATGTGAAAAAAAAGCATTAAGAAAAAAAGATAAGATTTAACCAACTGATAGTCCTTAGTCCAAAACAAACTGATTTAGCTTTTTCTGTCTGAGTCCAGATATAACTAACTGAGCTTGTTCTCGTTGTAGGAAAGTAGCTTGGCAGGGGATGTAGAGAGAAGGGTGAAATAGGGGAGCCACTGCATATCCATCTGTCCCTTCTACCATATGATAGCATGTCAGCTGGAATAGCATACCCCTCTTCTGGTTCAGAATGCCAGAGTTTGTTGGCTCTGTTGCATTGACACTGACTGCTATTGGCTGTATACCCAAAGTGTGCATTTCTTAATGGTCTGACCAAGAAATTTAGGTGTAAAAGTCAAGGCTTTGCTTAGATAGAAGTGGGGATCCTGTTTCGTGTTTTTGAACATCTCTTTTCTCCACTCCTACTTTCTCCTCAGGTTATCAGTGATGAGATGTGTGAGATTTGTGAGGTATGGACTGCTGAAAGTCTCTTCCCGTGTAGGATCTGCACAAGGGTTTTTCATGATGGCTGCTTGCGCCGCATGGGCTATCTACAAGGAGACAGCACAGTGGAAGTGACCGAGATGGCTCACACTGAAACAGGCTGGAGCTGTTACTATTGTGTGAGTTTGGTGGGGTTGTGGTGGTAAGAAAAGTCAATTAAAGCCAGTTCTTTTACAAGAGGCTATATCATATTGGATCCTTATAGTCAGTGGCCCTACACACTTAGAGTAGATTCAAAGGATGTCTGAGAAGAAGAAGCGGGGATGTCTATTTCCATGACACCTTATCTAGTTTCTGGAGCACAAATAAACCCAGAAGAAAGTTTGGTAGCACCAGTGACTTCCATAATGGTTTCTAGTCATCATAAAGCCATATCCAGACACTAAATTGTATTCAGCTGGAAAGTCCAACAGAATCTCAACAATGTTACTTTCTATATGGAATGGCTTTCTTTCATAGGTGACCTTGTGACAAAAGGCCATTGTCTGAGTCCTAGTCAGCAATATCCCCAATAAGTAGTCATCCAGACCTTAATGAGATTCAACCCTACATCTCCCAAGGCAGCCATTTCCATTTTCAGATAGCTCTAATTGTTAGGAAGCTTTTCTTTCAAGCCTACACTGCCTCTCTGTACCTCGTTATTGCTCTACTCTCTGGGGCCAAGGAGAAAAATCTAATTTCCCTTACATGTGATAGCCCTTCATATCCTTAAAAGACAGTCATCCTGTTTGGCTGTCACCCCACTCCCAAATCATCTCTTCTCCAGACTAAACATAATCACTTTCTTCATTCCATCTTCATGTAACATATGAATATATATTATATCATAGTCCTTCATCACCCTGTTGTGGATACACTACCATTTATTCATGTCATTCCTAAAATACAGTGCCTAGAACTAAACACCATACTCCATATGTAGGCTTTGTAGGGCAGACTACAGCAGAACTCTTTCCTCCTTAGTCTGTTAGGCTGTGGCTGCCCCTTAATGCAACAGAAGGCCACATTTGTGTTCTGGGCCATCGTGTGACATTTTTACTCAGGTTGTATTTGCAGGCCACTAAAACTCTCAGATCTCTTTCAAATGACCTGCTGTCTAGCCATGCCTTACCTACCTTAGACTTATGAAATTGGTTGTTGTTACTGTCCTCCTCTTCTTCCTTTTTTTTTTTTTTTTGCCAGGCAATGGGGTTAAGTGATTTGCCCAGGGTCACACATCTAGTGAGTGTTATGTGTCTGAGGCCAGATTTGAACTCGGGTCCTTCTGGCTCCAGGGGTGGTGCTCTATCCGCTGCACCACCTAGCTGCCCCTTTGTTGTTTGTTTTTTTTAATGGAGTATTAAAATTCGCATTTACTCCTTTAAATTTCATCTTATTAAATTTTGCCCCATATTCCAGCCTTTCAAGATCTTTTTGAAATTTGACTCTGTCATCCAGAATATTATCTATAACTGTCCAGCTTTTGTCATCTGCAAATTTGGCAACCTTATCATTGTTGCCTTTATCTCAGTCATCCATAAAATTGTCAAATAGCACCAGCCCAATGACAGACCCCTGGGCACTCTATTGAAGACCTCCTTCTAAGTTCGCATCAGATTTCTATAATGTAACATTTTATTTTCCTCATCCTTCCTTTATATATGTTCTTCCTCCAGACTGGAATACTCTCGCCACCCTCCTCTCAACCTGTCTGAATACTACCCTTCCTTCAGAGTCCACCAGCAATCTTCTGTTGAATTCTTTCCTGGTTGTTTAAGTACACACTAAGCAGTTCCCTTCACTCTATTGCATTTATTATCTGCAGTACTCACTTGTCATTTTGCATAGTCCTGTATTGACTGTTTAACTCATAGCATGTATAAGTGTCAACTCCATAACAAAGACTATGTCTTATATACCTTTGTTTCTTCCCCAGTGTTCAGCACAGTATCCTGCACATAATAGGAGCTCCATAAATACTTGATAATTAATTCATCATAAGTAGCAATTAATAGGCCTACTCAGGCCCTTGATTGGGCATGGAACTACAGAGATTAGAGTTAATAGTTCATTAATTCAGCAATTCCATTAAGAGCCTACTGTGTGCAAGGAACTCCTGATAGATTCCTCCCACTTTTTTAGATTTATAACAATGATAATAATAATAGCTACCATTTATATAATGCTTTAAGGCTTGCAAAGAACTTCACGTGTCTTATCTCATTTGAAACTGACACTTGGCAAAAACCCATGGGAGACGTGCAGTTAAAAGAGGAATTATTGGGATTTGGACACCTAAGAATACTATTTCTCCAAAGCCAGTAATAATAAATAACTCCTGCTACTTCTGTAGCCCTTGGACTTTGACACGTGTTAACTTGTTCTATCTTCCCAGCAGCACTATGAAGTAGACACGGCAAATATTTTCATCCCCACTTTACAGATGCGGAGATAGACCCAGAGAAGTTAAGCAATGTACCTAAGAGCCCATGGCTAATAAGTGGCAGAGCTGGGAGAGTGCTCTTTCTACTGCACAATGCTGCCTCCTAAGGAGATTGCCTTGTAGCCCCCCACTTTCAGTGCCTTCCCAAACAATGGCTGTGTCTGCAGAGGCAGGTGATGTGCTAGTAAGTGCCAAATGCCAAAAATAAGTTACTCTGCTTCACATGTAGAGATGGCAGTGGTCGCTACCTCATTTGCAAGAGTACCTGAAAATTTTGATGTGTGAGCAAGAGGTTCTCCACGTAATTTATGACCATAGAGATTTTTTGGTTCAGAGTTTGTAGTAATTGTCATCATTTGTGAGTGCCTGGTAGATTCGGCCAACTCAGATCCTTGGCTTAAAAAGAACCCTGCATCTGTACATCTTCCTCACCTCATTGGTCTTGACTGATACACACTAGTCTTGCTGTTATTTTCTTGTTTTTCTGGTCAGTTTTAGAAGCTATTCTAAAGGTCAGAAGATATTCCTTGTGTTTCGTATTACAAATGACCATGTAAATGTTGGAGTGCTCTGTGATTACTAGTAGGCATTTCCCACCCTCCCTCCACCTTAATCCTTACTCCCTAACCAAACCACTTCAGTCAAGGGACTCAGATCAACTCTGGAGCAAGAAGAATATATCTAAAGCAGTACCAAATACACACAGATCACTCTCTGGCCATGCTGTGGAAGACTTACAACCAAGCCGCATTACCCCAAAGCCATTCAGTACTAGGCTTATTAGACTGTGTGGGCTCAGATTTCTAATTACGTCAACATTGATTTCATTAACTGTGAGCTTAGCAGTGTTCCAGTTTGACTGCCACTGTGCTCTCCTGAGAAATTCAAGGAAATATTAGAGTGACAGTGATAAATGGGCAGGTTATATTCTGGAGTCAGTGATTTGTTACTGTTTTTATTGAGGACCAAGAAGCTTGACTGAGAGGCCACTGAGAGATTATTAAAATTCATTCACCAAGTTTGGTGGCTGCCCAGCTGCCTTGTTTATTAGCTGGCACAGAGGATGGAGTGTTCTGTTTAGAGACAGGAAGACCTGCTTTTGAATACTGTCTTCTAGCACTTACTAGCTCTGCGACCCTGGGCAAGTCACCTTGCTCAACCTCAGTTTCCTCATCTGTGAAATGAATATAATAATTGCACTTACCTCACAGAGAGTTATTGTGAAGATCAAATGAAGCAACATATATGAAGCACTTTGCAGATCTTAAGGAGTTATATAAGTGCCAGCTATTATTATTGTTGTTATTGTTATTATTCCTTGATTTTGCTGCCAAATCTTGATGACTCAAAACCACTTGAGAGTATAGTAGCCTCACTTTATCTCCTACATCTTATTCTCACAGTCAAGTCATCAGGTCTTTTTTCCCCTGTTGGATAATGCTCAGCTTTGCAGAGTAAGTTATTCTTGGGTCTAAGCCTATAGCTCTTGCCTTTTGGAATATTGTATCCTAATATCTCTCCTAGTTTTTAGCAGAAACTGCCAGGTTTTATGTGATCTTGACTATGTGTATACACGCAGTCAGGATCACACACATTCATTTCTATCTTCACTTTGCTCCCTGGTTTTCCCTCTCCCCTCCAGTTCTAATAGATCTGAGATCGTTTGTGATTTCTTGCACTGGTGTATCTAGGCTTTTTAAAAAATCATTTAAAAAAATAAATTTAAAAAAATCATTCTCAGGAAGTCCAATAATCCTTAAAATAGCTCTCTTTGACCTATTGTCTAATTCAGCTGTTTATGATATCAGATATCTTACTTTTTTTCAGTCTTTTGATTTTATTCTATTATATCTTGCCGTCTCGTGGAGTTAGTGATTTCTATTCAATGCTAGATTTTAGGTATTTCATATCCTGGGTAATTCTAAGCTACATATTCTCCCATTTCCTTCCTCAAGAATTTTTCTCTTTTTTTCTCTCTCTACTTCTCTTTCTTTCTTTCTTACTTGTTTCATTTCTTCTAAGCTAGTTATTCATATAATCCTTGTAGAAATTTTTTTTTCTTTGAGTCTCTGCTTGCAATTGTTATGGAGTTAAATTTGTTATAGGTTTTGATAATGGAGAATATTTTCTTTGACTTACTCATCATCTCTCTAGTTTTAGTTTCTGAATTGGGGGGTTGCTCCCAGGTCCCACTCCCTACTGCACTTCTACGTAGGGTGATTGGCCTTGCGTGCCTGTTCTGAGACTGTATTATCTGGATTCTTGTGCTGACCTCCACTTCCCAAGGTTAGTTCCCTCCTTGTATCTTTGAGGTCATAGATCTTTAGGGCCCTCCATGCCTCTCAGGACAAAGTGCCTTCATCATCCCTGGACAACTGAGCTGAAATGACCTGAGCACTGGGCCTCCTAGTAGAAATGCAAATTAAAACAACCTTGAGATATCATTTTATATCTATCAGACTGGATAAAATGACTGAAGTGGAAAATGACAAATGTTGGAAGGGATGTGGAAAAATTGGGACACTAATTCATTGTTGGTGGAACTGTGAATTAATTCAACCATTTTGGAGAGCAATCTAGAATTACGTCCAAGAATTATTAAACTGCCTATACCCTTTGACCCAGCAATACCACTACTAGATCTGTTTCCAGAGATGATTAGGGAAAAAGACAAAGAGCCTATGTGTTCTAAAATATTTATAGTGGCTCTTTTTGTAGTGGCAAAGAACTGGAAATTGTGGGGGTGCTCATCAACTGGGTAATGGCTGAACAAGTTGTGGTATATGATTGTGATGGAATACTACTGTGCTGTAAGAAATGATGAGCTCAATGATCTTAGAAAAACATGGATAGACTTGCACAAAATGATGAAGAATGAAATGAACAGAACCAAGAGAACATTGCATATAGTAACAGCAATATCATTTTAAGCACAACTTTGAGTGAATAAGTCATTTTGACTATTATAAATACCCAAATTAACTACAAAGGACCCATGAAGGAAGTTGCTGTCTCCAGAGAAAGAATAGATAAATAGATGTATAGAATAGTTTATACATAAAATATATATATGTGTGTGTGTGTGTGTGTGTATATATATATATATATATATATATGCATAATTGTGTCTAATAGTAGCCATCTCTATGGAGGGAAGAAAAAAAGAAAGGAAAAAAAGAAATTTATGTAATAGCTCTCTTGGGTTTCTAAGGTCCTCCTCACTCTGGGAGTTCCCTGACTTTCATGGGACTTTTTTTTTTTTAGTAGAGATATCTGTTCTTGCTCCCTTCAGATTCAGATCCTTGTATATTGCATGAGTCTGGCCCATCATCTCTTGTTGGGAAGGCTGCTAATTTATTTGGAAGGGCTTGTACTAGCTTTGCTGACTGGCCCATTTCCTACTGCCTCTGGGCTTTTTGCTGAATTTTTGTGCAGTTTTGTGGCAGAAGAAATACCTTAATGTAGTTTGTCATTGGACTTCTCAATCATTATTTAATCTGATACGAATTTCAGATTTTTGCTAGAATAAATATCAAGGAGCTGGGTGGTCTGCCCATATTCAATCAGCCATCTTTACCCACATATTTCTTTCCCAATTAAGACTGATTTTAAATGTTCGTATAAAGATTATTAAGGGATTCTTGTAAGAAGTAGTTCTAAGTGAATGTCTATTAACTTTATAGCAGTTGACTGAGCTGAAGGAACATAGCATTGCTTAACCCGTTTTACATTGATACATTTATCATTAAATACTGAGCTAAACAAAACTACTGCAATGATCTTTCCTGATTTCACTGATCAGAATCTGTCTTACGCTTCTCTTAGGCACTTGTCATAGATCTCAATCCATGATTACTTACATGGGTAGAGTGTAAGTCAAATCTGAACTTAGGAAGACCTGAGTTCAAATCCATCCTCAGATACTTACTAGCTGAGAAACCCTGGTCAAGTCAGTAACCTCTGTTTGCCCCAGTTTTCTTCATCTTTAAAATGGGAATAATAATTGTACCTATCTCCCAGGGTTGATGTAAGAATCAAATGAGATAATAATGGGAAATTGCTAAGTACATAGTAAGGACTATATAAATGTTAGCTTTAAAAAAAAAAGATATTTGAGTTAATTAGATTGAGAGCTACATGAAGGCACTATTTGGAACCTCACCAGTACCTGTTATGATCCTCTGCATGTGGAATATGCTTAATAAATATGGGTGGAAGTTGTAATTTTAAACTTCATCTCTCTCACATAACTATTGGTTTTAGAAGCAGAAGGATATAAGAATAACATGTGGTTTTTATAGACCTTGGATTGTAGTTTACAAAATTTGAAAGTGTCTAGGACAGGATTATTAACCTGGAATTCATGAATTTGGTTTTGTAAAAATATATCTTGATAAATGTATTTCAGTATTTGGTTTCCATTGTAATCCCATGTATTTTATTTTATGTGCTTTTTTTGAATCCATATTCAACATAAAACTTTCAAAGTTATCCTGTTTGTCTGTGTTTCTTTCTGAACTTCCTTCCGTTCTCTTCTGTTCATTTTTTCTTTTATTTTTTAATAGTTTTATATGGCAATTATATGTAAAGATAATTTTTAGCATTCATTTCTATAAGATTTTGAATTCTAAATTTTTCTCCCTCCCTCACTCCCCTTCCTTCTTCCTAAAATGGTAGGCAATATGATATGGGTTATATATGTGCAACTATGCAAAGCATATTTCCATATTAGTCACAGCTGTGAAAGAAGAAGCTGATCAAAAGGGAAAAAAACTAAAAAAAAAAATGAAGTGAAAAAAGTATGCTTGGATCAGCATTCAGAGTCCATCAGTTCTTTATCTGGATATGCATAGCATTTTCCATCATTTGAGTCCCTTGTGCTTGTCTTGGAGAAGAGCCAAGTCATTCATAGTTGTTCATCACACACTGTTGCTGATTTTTTTCCCGGTTCTGCTGATTTCACTGTGCATCAGTTCATCTAAGCCTTTCCAGGTTTTTCTGAATTCTGCCTGCTCATCATTTCTTATTGCACAATAGTATTCCATTAAATTCATATATCACAACTTGTTCAGCCATTCCCTGATTGATGGGGATCCCTTCAATTTCAATATTTTGCCACCACAAAAAGAGCTGCTATAAATATTTTTCACACATGTAGGTCCTTTGCCCTTTTTTATGATTTCTTTGGGATGCAGACCTAGTAGTGGTATTGCTAGATCAAAAGGTATGCACAGTTTGGTTGCCCTTTAGGCACAGTTCCAAATTGCTTTCCAGAGTGGTTGGATCAGTTCACAACTCCACCAACAATACATTACTGTCCCAATTTTCCCACATCCTCTCCAACATTTATTATTTTCCTTTTTTGTCACATTAATCAATCTGATAGATGTCTTCTATTCTCTCTTTCTTTCACTCCCTCAGAGCCTCTCTTTGTCACTTTCAAACAAGAGGAGGAAGAGATCTAACAACCCCTCTTTGACAGTCCTCCATGGAGCTAAACAAGTTCTCTTGGTAAGACTCTCTCTCTACCTTTGCTTATGGTGATCAATCCCAATTCAGCCAGTTACACTCCTCAGATCTCCATAACACTGATGTGTGACTTGAGACAAAGGTATGAATGCAGTCTGTGTCCTAGAGACAAGTTCATAGTGTCCATGACCTCTCCGTATGCATTGAGATGTTCAAGTTTCAGACCCTTTCTAGGTGTAAAACTTTTCATCTGCATCTGAAAGAGTTTGCCCTTTATATTTAAAGTCTGTTTTTGCCTTTTCCATCTTCTGGTTAGGTAGGTCTCAACTTTGGTGGGACAAGGAGACTGTTATTGATACAATGCACTTCATTAGATCCTCACAATAACTACAACTCTTCAAGGTAAAAACTTTGGAGGGCTATATTATTATCCACATTTTATGGATGAAGAAACTGAGTCTCAGAAAGGCTAGGTGAACTTTGTGGAGGCCGTAAAATGAGCATTCCAACTCTGGTCTCTCTTGAATAAAATCCTGTGCTCTTTCCACTATGTAGCATGTTGCCTCTTTAAATGAAATACATGCAGATCCAGTCTTATTCATGTTGGAAACAATTCTGATGGTCAATCAAAAAATATTTATTCAGTGCCTACTGTGACCCAGGCACTATACTAAATTCTAGGGGTACAAAGAAGGGTAAAAGGCAGTCTCTGATCTCAAGGAGCTCACAGTCTCATGAATGAGACACCATGCAAGCAGCTATATACCAACACACTATATACAGGATAAATTAGAAATAATCAACAGAGGGAAGGCACTAGAATTAAGAGGGATCAGGAGAGGCTTTCTGTAGAAGGGGGAATTTTAGTTGGGACTTGAAGGAAGTCACATTTCTTTCAGCCTGTGCCTCAGTTTCCTCTTCTGTAAAATGAAGGCATTGGATTCATTGGCCTATAAGGTCTCTTTTAGCTCTAAATCTATGATCTTAATACTGACAATTATCTGTCTGGATTGTCTTCCCCCATTAAAATGCAAGCTCCTTGAGGGCAAGGACTTCCGGCTTATATTTGTATTGGTCAGCACTTCCCTAAGTGTCTAGTACAGAATAAGTGCTTACTATATGAGTGTTGACTGACCAACTAGCAAGGCCCCAAAGCTGTTCTGCTAAGGCCAGAGAGCCCTGGACATTTTTGTGAGTTCCTCTAGTACTTAACTGTTAGTTTTTGGTTTTGTAATTAACAGCTTTAAAGTTTAAGCTTCATGATAAAGAAAGTTAAAATTGAAATATGAATTTTTACACCTGAATTTTGGCACCAGCAAGCCCAAATTGAAAGATCTTGGCATACATTTCTCAAAATGTGTAATATGCCTTCTATAGTTGGAGCTCATGTGTGTAATGGTGAACAATAGGAATCTAAAAGCTTTAATAAGGAGGCCTGCAAAAAACTAAGCAGGTCCAGCAAAGAATCACATAGCCCAGGGAAATGTGTGTTAGGAGAGCGAGTACTTGCAAAAGAGACCCCAGCCATCAGCAACATCTTCCATCTCAGTGTTAGTACCTTGAGTCAGTAAAGCCTGGAGGAATTTTTGCCTGGGGTGAGGAACAAAAGAAGAATATTAAAGACATCTGAGGACAAAGTTATGTATAGTTCAGAGATAGGGGTGGTACAGTGGAGAAAACACTCTCTAGGGTCAGAGACTCAAGGTTAAATGCTCCCCCCCCCACCACCACTCACTACCTGTGTAACCTCAGGCAAGCTGTCAACTTCCTTGGATTTCAGTTTCCTCATGCATGAAATGGTGAGGTCTGAAGCGACAGGGGCTCTCTCTCCTTTCCACTGAAACTAGATGGCTCTTTAATGCTTTCATCAACTTTTCTATGCATAAACCCAACTGCATGGCTAATAAAATTCAACAAGCTGATTTTAAAAGAAAAGAAAAATGAAGGGTTTGGATTAGATGACCTCTGAGGTCCCTTCTATCTCCAGAGCCACGAACTTTTCCTTATTCAAATTGCCAGACTCCTGTCTTGAACATGAATTCAAATTTTATTCATTTCAATACTGTTGCCAGTCATCTGACACCAGCAGGCCATCTCATCTAGGACTATTTCTAAGCAGTGATATGGACGGGTATTTTAGACAGAGGAGAGCCTAAGAAGTACTCTTAATGAAGTCATCCTCCATAGATATCAGTCCCTGTTTCAAAAACATGCTCTTCACCATTTAATAATTAATATAATTCTTAGACAGCTCCTGGAGGTGCTCTCCTCTAGCAGAGGAAAACCTGTTAATAGACCAGGAATTGCATGAGGTTCCGGGGGACATTTTAGAGATGACAACAAAAGTCTCTGCACTGAAACTGCAGTTAGTTCAAGGTGAAGTAAGAAATAGCTTGCCTGTGTCTGAATCACAAAAGTAGAAGACTGTCATTCAGAAAGAAAACTTGAAATTGGTCCAGGAGTCCATTGCTGCTAAGGAGACCAGCTTACTGGGTGTTCATAGCATTACCTTTATTAAAAAAAAAAACATGAGGAAAGTGTTACTTGGGCAAGTACAGTTTCTGAGAAACAAGGCTACACAGAGAAAATTGGAAATGCACTGATATTGAGAGTAACAGCAGTTTAATATCACTTTCTGGGGAAAAAAATTAGATAAAATGGGGTGTTAGCTTTGTTGGGATCCAAGACCACTCCTCTCTTTTTACTATTAGAAGACACCCTGTTTTCCAGAGCTAAGGCTTAGCAAGCAAGCTGTGCCAGAGCTTGGCATAACAATAATCCTTGGCACTCCCTCTCTGGATGAACTCTGCTACAACTAAATCACAGAACTAACGGTCCCTGAGCTTGGGCAAGCACCAGCAGGTCTAGACATGAAGACCTGCAATGAATGGACTTTTTGGGCACTAGCAACCTTGCCTCACTGTTGCAGTTGTGCTCACCTCTTCTACTATACCACACTGTTTGATTCTTTGTCTAGCCACACACATATAAATCAAGGTTTAGCCTCACTGCCTTGGATCTCTGACAGGAGAGGCCCTGAAACATGTCTAATTTCCCTCCCCCAATAGAATAAAGAAAGCTTTTTGCTTATAATCTATGTGAGCTCTTTGGCATTTTTAGAGTTAATAGCGGTAGCAAAACCTCTGTGACTCATTTGTTACCAGAGTTGACAACTTTATGAGAAAAATTCATATTCTGTTTACCTGGTTTATACATGTAATCAAGTAACAAGAAGCAAACAGGTTTTGGGAGAACAGTCAGTTCCCTAGGGATACTTTTTTTTTTTGGTTGGGCAATGGGGGTTAAGTGACTTGCCCAGGGTCACACAGCTAGTAAGTGTTATGTGTCTGAGGCCGATTTTGAACTCAGGTCCTCCTGAATCCAGGGCCGGTGCTCTATCCACTCTGCCACCTAGCTGCCTCACCTTGGAATACTCTTAAAAGACAGGTAGGTGCCTAGAGTTGTACACTTGGAAACCTACCTGACATGTCTAATCACTAGGCATGTAGCCTCAGGGAAGTCACTTAACCTCATTTAGCCTCCCTTTTCCCTTCTGTAATATGGGGGTGACAACACCTCCTTCATAAGGTTGTTGTGAGGCTCAAATGAGATAATATGCCATATTGTGCTCATAAAGTATTACATAAATGCCACCTATTATCTTAAAAAAAACCATCTAAGGAAATCTATACTTTTACAAAGCTTGTCTCCTATCATTTCTTTGGCACAAGGTCAGGATTAGATAAATTAACTTCCTGGCCCTCAGTTTGCCCATTTGTAAGATGTGGGGGATTGAATTAGACATGGCCCCTTAGGTTTCTTTTAGCTCTAGATGTAAGATCCTATGACTAAAGGGGCTTAAATTTCTGAAGTTTTCTTACTGTGTCTTCACCTCCCCCAACAAGTCCAAAAAGAAAAGCAGCAATAGAGAAGGCATGCATTTAGTTAACACTGTTAAAGGAATTTGTGTTTATTGAAACTGATAGTTTTAGAATTTAAAATTCATACCAAAGAAAATTAAAATAATTGACAAAGAAGTTCACATGTGGGTAATGGGACCCATTGGCAACAGTAAGTGCTAACTGTAAAGATCCTGGGCTGCATTCCTCCAAGTCTGCCATCTATGTTGTGTAGTTGGAAGTCATGTATAAAAAAAAACCAGGAATCCAATAACCAGCACAAAGATGCCCTTCAAAATATAATCAAGTGTAGGCAATAATGGTCTTTGCCTGTTGTGAAACAAGATGATTAGCCTAATGCGTCAAAGAACCATAACAAGCAGCATTGCTAAAAGAAAAATGTCAGTGTTGTATTTAGTCCAGTGATTATCTTCATGTTGCTCTCTCTCTGTAACACCAAAGTCTTCCATCTATGGCAATTTCTTCTCTTAACAAGGAGAGGAGTTTTGACCTGAGGTAGAAGAGAGGAAATAGTTAAAGAAGTCCAGTGACGAGATTAAATGGAATCATTCAACAAGCATTTATTATTATCCTTACCTCCAAGGAAAACAAAGAAAGGCCAAAAATATAATCCTTACCCTCAAGGAGCTTACATTCTAATGAGAGAAAACATGTAAAATAACTACATACATAAGAAATTATATGTGCTGCTAACAAAGGGATTGGGAAAGGTCTTGTAGAAAGTCAGATTTGAACTGAACTTGAAGGAAGCCTGGATTCACACTAATTTGGGAAGGAGAGCATTCCACCACAGGAGACAGCCAAAGCAAAGACACAAGACAATGTCTTCTTGTGGGAGAAACAAGTAGTCGGCTGTAGTTGGATCATAGTTGTTGCTGCTGTTCTTGAGTTGTTTTAGTTGTGACCGACTCTTCATGACCCCATTTGGAGATTTCTTGGCAGAGATACTAGAATGGTTTGCCATTTCCTTCTCCAGCTCATAACAGATAAGGAACAGAGACAGAATTTAAGTGACTTGCCCAGGGTCACACAGCTAGTAAGTGTCTAGGGCCAAATTTGAACTCAGGTCCTCCTGACTCCAGGGCTGGTTCTCTATCCACTTCACCCCTTAGCTGCCTTTGT